TACCTTCCTTATGAGTATAGTTTTGAAAACTACAGAATGATACTGTATTTTAAATCAGAATTTGATCTGTTATTCTTGGAAAAAAAATATCTTCAACTAAGTGAAGTGTCAGCACTTTCTGTTCAGACCAAAATATTCCATGAACAAATAAATCATATTTTATACTCAATTTAAAGAAAACAGCTAATTTCTCTATTGGCAAATAGTGAAATGGCCTCTATGAGGACATGTTTACATTCATTATGAGTGGTGACAAAGAGACGTTTGTTACAATTGGACCTGTTGCTCTGGTATAGCTGGAAGAAAAACTGACAGCTACTATTATTATTGGCCTTTCCTACTTTTAAAAACATATCATGGCTGTAAAAAAATAAATAAAAAAAGACTAAACCAGCTTGCAATAAAAAAAAATAAAACCTGACCCTCAACCTTTCTTTCTCCAACATTTATGGCATTTGTAGCAATTTTTACACTGTAGTATCATCTCTCTTGGAATGTTCTCCAGATATCCTAGCTCCCTGTAAAACTAATCTGAAGCCTTCAATCTCTTCCTTGGGCAAAGAATTGCTTATGTATGTCCTCCTTGAGGAGGTACCATGCCTTGAGAGAATATTGGGCCTCAAACTCACACCCAACCTCAGGTGGAACTCTTATATATGATCCATTGCTAAAGATGCAGGTAAAATGATTGGCACTCTGTGCCACTCCACTTGTACCTACATATATAGACAAAGATATGAACCAACCATAGACTTATTGATGCACATACCTATATGCATATAGACAGATAAGAGTGTACCATAAACGTATTGGTGAATGTGTAGAGACAGATATGAAGTGAACATAGACTTGTTGATGCATTTGTACCTACATATAGAGAAACATATATGAATGGACCATGGACTTACTAATGCACTTGTACTTAAATATAGAGACAGATATGAACCAAACATAGACTTAATGATGAACTTGTACCAACATATGTAGAGACAGATATTAATCGACCATAGATTATTGATGCACTTATACCTATATATATATATATTGAGACAGATATAAACTGACCATAGATTTACTGATGCACTTGTACCTACATATATAGAGACAGATATGAACTGACCATTGACTTATTGATAGACTTGTACAATATGAACAAACCAAGCCTGACCGCAATATTTGCAACACCTGCAACTCCATAATTTATACAGAAGATTGTTCACCAATCTTTTTCTTGTAAAATAAATAAGTTAATGTTTGATTTTTAATTCTTTCATCTTAATTTCTCTTGCTTTTCATTGCAACCTCTCAAACACTGTATGTTCAGACAACAAAGCAGATATCAGTACAGAAATTGAAATCAAGAGGTAGATTCCTTAATTCCAGCCTTGTTACTTTTGTACTAATGTGATGGGAAAGATACAAATCTTCTTCTTTCTCCAGTTATAGGTTAATTAGCAGGGCTGACTCAACTCTCGAGCTTTGGATGTCAAAGAGTCTAGAACAACAAATATGAATTCACAAATATGGAAAGGGCAACAGGAAACCATTCCACTATTTTTCCAAAGATGTCATCGTAATTCACAGATAATAAAAAATAGGAATCTGTGGATTGTTATAGTCATCTACATTCTGAAGTGACATAGCATTTTCTGCAACTGTTCGTAAACAGTATGGATTAGAAATTTAAAAAAAAAGCTGTTAGCAATTACATTTTTTTAATCATTTCACTCCAAGCAAGGCAATAAAGCCATTAAGATGCGAGAGTGTTAGAGAGTATAAAAAAAAAAAGAAAAGAAAAATACTCTTAAGAAGGGAGAATAATAAAAGAACAAGAATTAAGAAGGAAGAAGATAATGATTGGGACTACACCTGAATTTTTGAAGATCAAAGTTGACTGGAAGGCAAGAAGCTGGAAGAGAGTTCTACAAGAAATAAGTACAATAGAAGAAACTGTTAGTATAGAAGTTATAGTTACATCTAACTATTTCAACTGTAAAATGAAGAAATCTTTCTGCAAATCCAGTATTGTGCTTAAATTCATAAAGTCTAGGTACCATAGAGGAAATATCATTAGAAAATTTTATCTTGAGTTTCTTATTTTACTATAATAGCTGCTTTAACAGTTTGAGCTACAAGAAATAATTGCTTGTAAGAGATCAAATCTAATCGTATTAATCTATACTTTGTTGAATAGAGCAGTGACCTGAATTATAATTTTATAGGCAAGGGTAATGTATACAGTGTCATTCAATTTTCTCAATTCCTGTACACTGCATGAAATGAATGAGAAAATCATTAGGATAAAAACACAATAGATGAGATCTCACTATTTTGAACAACACATGGAATAATGTCCCATTCTGATTGGTTTTCATCAACTACTTGAAATATTCAAAATGGACAGATGTTTTTCATATACAAATTCATGTTTTTCATGTACACAATTCAAAATCATTCACATATTAATATCAGAATGTTGGTAAAAGAAATAATTAATTAAAAGAGTACTATTTTCATGAAATTGCATTTAAAATTTGATCTATTTCTTCAATAAAAGTTTTGGTCTGAATAGAAAATACTGATACACCTCTTAGGCAAAGATATTTTCTCAAAAATAAGATTAATTTCTTATCTAAAATACATTATTATTCTGTAATTTTAAAAGCCAAGTTAATTAGTGCTATAATGCTTATAATATATAAGCTCATAGTTTCTGGTTAATAATATTGTAAGAAAAACACTGGAAACATGAGGAACATGGATTATAAACAATAATAGTGAATACTTTAGTTCAGTAGGGCAATGTGTAAGACACAATATTACACATTGCAACCCACATTGTGAGCCCTGTTCTTATAAGGAGATATCCAACTCATAGTGAATGGATGAGTCTATATTCAACAATTAGTGTAGAGAAGACTGGTTGTCTTTCTATGCAAAAATAAGAAAGACAGAAATTTATAAAACAAGAAACCTAATAAAAGAAATAAAAGAACAGACCACAACCTTGTATAACAGTTGCTGAAAACTTCTTGATTCAACCCATTTTCCAAAATCTGATCAAATATATACAGATTGTAAACCTGAATATTATAGACACTTATATAGTTGAACAAACAAAATAAGAAATACCCCTTGTCAATGGAAAATTTCTAATCTAATTTTATCGAATAACTGAATCAAGCTAAAGACTTACTGATCCATCCTCACAATTCTCATTCTGATGTTAAATATGTCTCCATTTCATTTCCATTTTCTCTAAAACTTACTCATTGTTCACATGGTCAGTCCATGGTATTCTCAGTATCATTCTGTAGAACCACCTTTTTGTTGTTTCAAATCTTTTCTTCATCTGGGATGAGATTAGCAACATTCACTGCCATATAGGAGGACCGATATTATATAGCATTTAAGTACTATTTTATTTTTGCTTAACAAAATTTTCTTGTTTTTTAACACTTCGCTTAGAAGGAATCTTTCACTATCACAATGCACATTTGGATTTCAGTGTCACATTTTCTGTCCACTGTTAAAACACTTTCTAGAGACTGTATTTAACGTCATATAAAGTGCACTTTTTTTACTAAAAATATCCTTTAAAATTCCCCTGCATCTTATATGCCATATGTAGTTTTAAAATTCGCAATAGTTGGCTGAAATTAGCTACCTGTCAACATCTTTAGAGTAACTTTCATATACCTGCTGTCATTATTTAAAAGGCTATTATACAGATTAAAACTGTTATCATTGATAATATTCATTATATTAATTTCATCACATTTAATATTACTACTTTGTTTCACTAAAATCATATGCAATAAATTCAAATTATATATTTGTAAAATATATTACTTTCATTAATATTTTTCTTATGTATGTTGTTTTAAACAGAATATTTGATAAATATCTTCTCTAAGTTTTAGTCAAGATATTATCATTTCAAGTATCATTGGGACAATTGGTAATATTCTTTTGTTATAGTTATAACATTTCAGCTGACTAATATTTAGAAAGCATTACTGGAAAGTAAGAAAACTAAAAGAAGTTGTATCCATTATCTTTATATATAAATTATTTTTTATATCAAACTTCACCCAATATAAACCTCAAGAGTCACTCAAGGTAGAGGGTTACTGTTAAAATGCTTATAATGAGTAAGGTTTGTTATGAGTAAAAGAGGAGGTGGTTGTGAGTAAAAGAGGATAGATAACAATTGACCTTTGGCTTGAAGATTGTTCAGGGAAGCATCTATATTTCCCAGATAGCAGTTCAAGTCAATGTGGATTTCTTTAATAGAGAAAGGTTTTGAAAACACCCTTCATAGAGAATAATTTGCATTGCGAGTGTTGGTATTATGGATTGGCCTGTTTGTTATATTTGTCACAATTTTCTGTTTTACCAGTATATATAATGGAAAGCCTGAGGTTCATCTCCTAAACTACTTTTCTACTGGTATAGGGTCAAGAGTATACTTTGACAGATGTGACAATAACCTAATACAAATGTATGAGTTGCCATTTGGAAAATGATCTTATATCAAATATTCCCATTGTAGTGAAGCAACTAAATAACAATCAATTTTTTTGTTTTACAGTTTTGGTTAACACTACCTCAAAAAAGTAACCCTGACTTTTTCTATATTGATTGTACACTTGAATAATGCTGTAAAATAGATTGTGGCTCCAACAAAAGCATGAAAAAGAATGAGATCAATCATACAAACAACACTTGGAATTAAATACTGGTCAGTATATACCTCAATAAATAGACATATAGAAAATAAATCTCTCCTGGTATTTGTAAGCTTTAGAAAACTAAGTGATAGTGTGAGTAAGAAATTTAGTGTGTGTGTGTGTCTGTGTATGAAAGTGCTTACGTGTATAAATCAATGATTATTCTGCAGAGTATATATATATATATATATATATATATATATATATATATATATATATATATATATATTTGTGTGTGTATCTTGTCTGTGTTTATCTAACCTGAATATGTATCTACCAATTTATCTCCAATCTGTCCATATCTATCTATCTATCTATCTATCTATCTATCTATCTATCTATCTATCTCTTGCAGTCTTTTCATTATCTAACTATTTATCTCAGTGTCTTCATTATCTATCAATGTCAGTCCCTTCAGTATCTATATATTTATCTATTATCTATATATCAATCTCAGTCTCTTAATTAACTATCTATATCAGTCTCTTCATTATCTATCTCAGTTTCTTCATTATCTATCTATCTATCTATCTATCTATCTATCTTAGTCTCTTCATTATCTATCTCAGTCTCTTTATCAATATATGTATCTGTCTCAATCTCTTCATTATCTATCTATCTATCTATCTATCTATCTATCTATCTATCTATCTATCTATCTCTTGCAGTCTTTTCATTATCTAACTATTTATCTCAGTGTCTTCATTATTATCAATGTCAGTCCCTTCAGTATCTATATATTTATCTATTATCTATATATCAATCTCAGTCTCTTAATTAACTATCTATATCAGTCTCTTCATTATCTATCTCAGTTTCTTCATTATCTATCTATCTATCTATCTATCTATCTATCTTAGTCTCTTCATTATCTATCTCAGTCTCTTTATCAATATATGTATCTGTCTCAATCTATCTTAGTATTACTATCTCATCTATCTATCTATCTATCTATCTTAGTCTCTTCATTATCTATCTCAGTCTCTTTATCAATATATCTATCTATCTATCTATCTATCTTATCTATCTATCTATCTATCTATATATTCTTCATTATCTATTCTCAGTCTCTTTATCAATATATGTATCTGTCTCCAATCTCTTCATTATCTATCTATCTATCTATCTATCTATCTATCTATCTATCTCAGTCTTTGTTATCTATTTAACTGTTAATATCTCTCCATTGATTCAATCAATTTGTATGTCATGTAGACTCCCTTGTGCTGCATAGGGCTTGGGCCTAACCATGTTAAGTAAGCCACTGGGGTTTCCATAACAGGTAGAATTTCTTTACAGGGTGGAGCTGTTTGCACTACACCCAACCAATTTTGAATTCAAAGTTCTATTTCTCCTAAACTGGTTGACACCCAAACATAGTCCTGTTATTAACCCTTGACTAGGATGGTGAGAGATGGATTCATACCTTTCCAAGTGTAACTGGGCAAAAGTAACCTTGATTGGAACTTGAACTCAGCATGTCAATTCCACTTTTTGCACTGATCACCACTATGCTACACACATATCTTATCTCTCTATATCAGTTTGCAAATATATCTGTATCATTTTTCATATTTAACCAGTGCAATCTATCTATCTTAGTTATTATCTCTTTGTTCATATCTATCTATTTATCTTAATCAGTTAATATCTGTCTGTTTATATCTGTCTATATCATTACCTACCTACCTATGCATCCATCTATCTACCTGTATATCGATATTAGTCAATTAATATCAGTTTGTTTATATCTATCTATCTATCTATCTATCTATCTATCTATCTGCTATAACTCACTCTTAGTGGTTATAATATTATGTTTCACTTAGGCAACTTGACATAATGTCATTAGAAATTCTCCTCAACTCTAACAGACTTGCCTTGAGTCACTTTGAGTTCTTTATTTAAGGCATCTTGCCTAGTTCATTTGTATTACTGGGAGAGTCTTATTTACTCCACAACACTATCTATTTATCTTATTCAGTTAATATTTGCCTGTTCATTATCTATCTATCTATCTATCTATCTATCTATCTATCTATCACAGTTAACATCTATCTATCTATCTATCTATCTATCTATCTATCTATCTATCTATCTATCTATCTATCTTAGACTGTTCATAGTTACCACAATTTAAAAACAAATATTTGTATACCTGAGGATTGTTTTTGTTTTTTAACAGCTTGTCAAGCTTTTGTATTTTATTTAATGATTAATTATATTTTTAGATTGTACGAATTGTTTTTTTGTAGTGAGTTAATATTGTATTAATATTTTTTAGATAATAATGATTTTCTGATATGTCCTATAGCTAAGTGTGGGAGAAGGTGTGGATTCATACAATTAAAGGTATCTGAGCATAATTGAATGTAATGAACCCAACTGGAATTCAAACTTGGCTCTTTGATTTTACATTTTGAGTCATTATCAATTACACCACATGCACATCTAAGTTTACAGCACCTGGTATTCTCACACAGTCACCCATTTAGGTACTAACCAGGCTCACTGTTGCTTAACTTGAATTGGACAAGAAAAGGTGTTTCAAAGTGATATGTCTGTAAGCCTGTATATCTGAGGAACAGTGCATATAAGACTATAAGTAGAAACTCCAACCTGTCTTCTGAATGTTTATATCTATTGAAATCTGTCTCAAGCTGTTTATCTATTGTTAGAGTAAAAACATATACATACGTGTAGATGACATGTATAAAAAAGAGACAAAGAAAGAGAGAGACCACCACATTTCCATATCTGACTAAGGTTGTAGAATGGATCCACCAAAACAAAAAGAATAAGTTCAATAGTCTGAACAACTCCTGGAATGAGCAGGCTGTTACATTATAGCACTTACTCATTGATTTGAAATTTACTTCAGGAAAAAAAAGAACATTTACACTGTTTATTGATTGTTCCTTACACAGACTTACTTCAAACTGATTCTTTTTACATCTTGCCATTTGAGGCCGGGTGATAACTTATAAACGGCTTTATTTTAACATCTGAGATTTTTTTCTAGTATCGAAATGGCAATTGCATATTTACTATTCTTAACTGAATATCCACTTGCAAATATAAAGAGAACTCTTGTATGAATTGGAAGAAGACTTGGAGAAGACAAAAAATATAAACCTTGTCTTCTGAATTCAGAGAAAGGAACAAGAACAGTGGACTGGGGGCAAAGAAAAAGATACAAAATCAAAATAAGGATACCTTGCAGAAATTTTAGATTTAATTGTGAAACATTTGCATATGAGTTGCCAATATGAGGAAGAAACTTGAGACAAAATGGAGATCAGAATGTAAAAGCCAAAGGAAAACATGCAACCAGATGACAATCAGAATGAATCAACAATTCAAATATCAAGGGGCAATTTACATGCATTGTTGTTGAAAGAACATACTTGTCAAAGGTTGCACTTAGATGCTAACGAGGATAATATCCAAAATCTTTTCTCGACAATGAGGATTGCCAATAATAAATCTTAACAGAGATTCTTAGATGTTGTCTTGGAGGATACTACAAAAAATCCTTTATTCTTCCTGATAAGTTCTGCTCAATGTTGAAGATAATGAACTAATTCCTCTCTTTAATTATGGAGTGTTCATTTGAAGAAAGCTGTAATGAGTTTAAATTTATTGTTGCCACCTGTACTCTTGTGTCTCCTTCTGAACATGAATATGTATATATTGTTAAGTTACACTAACAGACTTATACTGAGACAAAGTTGTACACCCTGTGTAGATCACATTCACAGCAGTTGTAATAGTTTGAAAAATAAAGTTGCTAATCATTGTATCTTGGTAAAGTATCTGTATCCTTATTTGATGCAGTCATGGTTGACTATGCAAGTAACAGCTTTTTACTACAGTTTGAGTGGTAAGGTAATTATGGGAATGTGGTTAACCTAAATTTTCACTATTTTTTACTCCATCAGCTATCATGGCATATCAGTGATGAGAACTTTTTTCACAATATCTTGTAGTGAAAATGGAAATAGAGGAAAAATTGGATTCATGCCTTTCCAACGAGTATGAGTAATGAAGTAACACAAGCAGCATCAGCCAAAATTTAAACTTTAATTGCCAGTTCTATTTTTTATACTTATCTTTATTATTATGTCTTATTATGTCTTGTGCTTCCAGGACTTTATATGGATCACCTGAAAGACACCTTCCTGCCTCCCATTAGCATGGCTGATGCTAACCTCCATAAGAGTGACTCATTGCATATTCTTGGGTTTACATTCTCAGGCTTAGATTCTCAGCTGACATGAAGCTTATATTAAATCCATTGCTAGTTGTACTGCTAAGAAATTTGGTTCGCTGTGTCATGCTAGATAAATTTTTCTCTCTTGAATCTATCTTACATACTTATAAGTCTACCATTTCTCCAGGCCTTGAATATTGCTGCCAAATATGGTCTGGTGCTCCTGCTGTATATCTAGAGATCCTTGATAAAATCCAAAGAAGAATCAGCAATATTATTGGTGCTGACCTGGTGTATTGGCTTCAGTCACTTTCCCACCACCATAATGTAACTTCCCTGTAGCTTTTATATAAATATTTTATGATAATTGTTCAGATTAACTCTTCACTATGGCACCTAAACTTCATGAATTTAAGCGCAGTACTAGACTGGTGGCTAGGTCTCATTAATTCATAGTTGAATTGGCTAGGTGTAATCATAAGTTCTATGCTAGCAGTTTATTTTCTTGCACCTCTTACTTGTGGAACTCTCTTCTGGCTCCATGCACAAAAATTCAAATGCAATGTCAATCATTATCTACTGTCCTCTTGATGACACTTCTATTGTTCGCACACTTCAATAATGTTTTTCTTTTTCTTTCACACTCAGTAAGCCCTTGTAGCTTTACTGCATTGCATGGGATGAAAATCCTCTTATCCTGATGTTGTAATGTCCTCAAATCCTTTGGATTAATCCAGCAACTCCTCTTACACATGGTATACTTATTATTCCATACATTGTTTATATCTCTGTTGTTTTTGTTGCTATTTCCCATTCTAGAAATGACATAAAATGGATATTTATTGTTTTGAAAGATACTACTAAAAGCCTTTGTTCTTTCTGATAAGTTTTGCTCATTTCCCTCTTTGCTCATGGAGTGTTCATTTGAAGAAGGCTGTAAAATGAATTGGCTGAAATGATCTGGGAACAACAAAGCCAATACAAAAATAACTTCATTCAGTCAAACAACTTTTAGAATGCCTTTAAGTTCTTAAGTGAATTTTTTAAACAGTTTCAAAAACACTAATTGATAGTTTTTAACATCAGTGGGGGGTGCAGAGAAAAAGATTCAAAGATCAAAATAGGATAGCCTGCAGAAATTTTATATTTAATTGTGAAACATTTGCATATGAGTTACGAATATAAGGAAGAAACTTGAGACGAAATGGAGATCAGAATGTAAAAGCCAAAGGAAAATATGCAACCAGATGACAATCAGAATGAATCAACAACTTAAATATCAAGGGGCAATTAAAACAGTTGGTTTGCCAGATGGAATTACTTTTATGCCAGATAGAAATTTGATTGTCTACATATTAAACTTGTTGCTATAAATTCTCTGAACTCATTATTAATTTTTGACTAGTTTTCATTTCATCATATTTTTCTCTGAGTGGTGATAGTGTTATGAAGTAGATTATTCTCTGGAATAGACATTGTCAGATCAAAAAATAGTAGCTTGACTGGCATTTGCTGTGGTATACTAGTTTTATAGCTGTACCTCATTTACATGCAATACTACACCTCCCTGAACTGAAATGGCCTTGTCCCTTTCATTGATCTTTGACTTTTAATTATTGTTGAGAATCTAAACTGTCTTTCTTGGTGTGTATCTTGATTTCTTCTTATAGAGCATCTAGGTCTGAGTTCATTTTCCTCTTCTGACTTCTCATTAGATTTCTGATCATTAACACCCATAATGTGTTCTGTTTCATTACTGGATTAATTAATCCCCTCCTCCTCTTCATGTTCTTCACCTTCAGATTTTGCGTCCATTTCTATATCCTCAGGTTCCATTATGCTTTGGAATTGATCAGCATGGGCCAGTACATGTTGTCCATTTTTTTGTTATTATTGCTGTGTTGTATCCTTTCTGCACTACAAAGTTTGCATTCTCTTTATTAGATTCATTATCTTTTTTATACTTTGTAATCTGCCGGCATGTGAAATTGTCCAATAGCTTAACAGTAACCTTAGTATATTTTCATTAGATAGGGAAAATGCTTTTAGTCCCATTTTCACAGTCTGCACCATTCTTTCTGCAATTCCATATGGTTGTGAGTGGTAAGGAGGTGTTTTATACAGGATGCATCCAATATGTTTTAGCTATGAAGACACACTTTCCTTGCAAAATTCTGGTGCATTACCTGTGACCAAAGTTTTAGGCACCCCATTTCTTGAAAATATTGTTCTTAATATTTGTTTTACAGTGGTTGCTTTTCTGAAAGCAATCTTAATTACTTTGGACTATTCTAAAAATGAGTCTATTAAAATTAGAAATAGCCCATGTCTTTAATATGGCCATGATGTATGTGTACCCAAGAGCATGGTTCTTATTCTATAGGCGAGTGAATTTTGTTTTGCCAAAAGTTTTTTTATTTCAGCACATTTTGGGCACATTTTTACATAGTTTTCTACATCTTGAGAATATCCTGGCCACTACTCTTGTAATTTTAATCTTATTTGTGTTGCTGTTATACTACAATGTGCATCATCGTGTACACCTTTTAGAACTTCTTTTCTTAAACTTTGTGGGGGTATTATTATGTCTCCATTGCATATTATGCCTTTATCTACAGTTAACTTATGTCTTGACTCTTTGAAGTTTTTTCTACCATTGAACAATTACTCCATGTGTTTCTTTTTATCCTGTCTGAAATTCTGCTTAACATTGGATCTTGTATGGCTTCCATTCTGAGACAATTTAGGGGTAAGATGTCTGTTTTTAACCCAGTGCAGTATTTCATCTTCTGAATTTTCAGACGTTTCTAATTTTTTATTGTCGAAATTCAGTTTGGATATTGCATCCACATGTGGAATAGTGTTCCCCTTTACGTATATGATGTTGAAATCAAAAGCTATT